TATATATATATATATATATATTTGTGCAGCAAATTCTCTTTCAGGCATGTCTGATTGAATAAGTTACAAACGTTATGTCTGCTTATTTTGATTATAATCCGTTCATATTCACAAACATTTTTCCATATATTACAATTAAATGAGGCAAGAAATGCACTGTAAGAGTGAGAATGACTTATTTCCCCAAGTACTTTCCATCTCTTTCTGAGATCATCATCATGGGGTGCAACTGATAAGGAAATAACTATGTGTAGCTATCCAATTCTTTACTGTATGGTCAGCCATAACATTCAAACATAAAAGAAAAAATTCCATAATTTCATGTTTTAATGAACACTAAAGCATAACTCAGTCATAGCATTTAAATGCTAAAGAAAAATACAGTCAGTTGAGGTTCTTTTGCTTTGAAATAAAAAAGGAGAGTTTTCTCCCTACTCGTTTAATTTGCCATTAAAACCCAATTTTATCAATTCTGAAATTTTGGAATCTGGACAATTCATTTATGTTTGAAGAGAATTTTTCATATGTTGAAATATTGTTTGTATTGTTGTGAAGACAGATTCAACCATTTTCTTTTGATTTCTTGATATATTTGTTGTGTATGTTGGCACTGGGAGAGAAGTGATTCTTTTAAAAGAGAACCGTTGAATCCAAAGAATATTTTTACATATGAAAAATTCTCTTCAAACAGAAAAAGTAAATTAAGTAATAATAGTTAAATAATTTTTCAGTTGACCTAATGACCTCACTAGAACAATTATGACTGAGTAGTGAGTTCAATCCTCACTGGGTGCCTCCTAATTTCGGCCTTGTGTCACATTTAAGCTACACTTGGAAAAATCACTATATGAGCATTTCTAAATTCTATTAACTAACATTTTGTTTATAGATACTTTGTTCAAATAAATTCATTTCATTCTCCACAGTGGGCGAAACACATCCATTGCAAAGAACAAATATATATATATATATATATATAGTGTGTGTGTGTGTATATTTATTATAAATTGTTACAATTTTCCTATTGTCTTTTTTCAAAGAATTGACCAGTTTCATTTTTCTTAGCAAAAACTTAACTGAGGTTAAAAAAAAAAACAAAAAAACAAATCAGCTAAAAATTTACATTATATATATATATGCCATGTTAAATGCAAATAAAACTAAAACCAAGCAGCCATTTCCTCTGTTTGCACAGAGAATGGCCACCTAGATTAAATTTTATTTATTATAGTAAGGTTCACCTTGTACAAGGCCTGGGTAACCCTCGTTACATTAAGAGAGTTTACATGGATAGAAGAGGAAGATAACAGTTAACCCTAGACTTGACCAGGGGCAGAAACATCCTCTTCAGAGTTGGTTCCATAGAGTAGTGGTTTGTGGGAGTCAAACTTACTTCTCACCTACAAATGTGAGTGGTATGCCAGGTCTTAACTGTGAAGTATAGAACTGGTGGAACCAAGGCATGTAGTTCATCTGAGCACTTTCCATGGAAATAGTGATAGAGCAATGAGAGACTTGCCACCATCCTGAGAGAGAGAGAGGTTGGAAAATCGTTTCCAATATCTTGAAATTGGGAATGTGATCTGCATACCAGAACATGTTATTTCAGCATGCTGTGCTGCACTTCACAATTGCAGACCCAGAAACAATCTGCTTATACAAATTAACAATCATCTGACCTCTTCTGATAAATGCTGGAATATATGAAATTCTCCTATGCAACAGTAGAGATCTCCAGTCTTTATATTTAGTGTCACACTAACATTTAAAGGAATAAATAACAGAACTAGTTTTAAAGATAGGCAGGCTATCCTTAAAGACAGATTTTTAACATTGGCCAAGACAAAAACATCACTTTGCGGATGAGCAGAAAAAATAACATTGCCAAACACGAAGAGATTTACTTAGCAAAAAATCATACCAGTTTCACTAATTTAAATCTTAAATTGACAGGACATTTTTCAGGGACAAAATGTTCAGGCCTAAGAAATTGTGTAATCTTTACACAAAATTTAAAGAGATGTGTGGACATAAAACAAGAATTATAATTTCACAAACTTATTAGAACAAATAATAAGTTCCTGATGACCTATGTTTTTGATAAAGTCGATTTTATATAAAATAAAATATAAATCTGAAAACTTGCATTTACAGTATGCCAATGTGCTAAACCCTGCTAGCTATTGTCTATTCTACTAATCTCAGCTGCATATGTGCATGTTATACTGATCCTGAAATGGGAGGAGGACAATTTGGTTGACAGTCTGTGGAACTGAAAAGGTTTTGATGTAAAAATAGGAGAATGTTCTTTGAAAATGTTGCAAAAAAAAAAAAAAAAAAATCCTTGTTGAAGGTTTTTATACGTTGGCAAAGAATGGTAAGTAGAAAAACATTTTAAAAACAGTTTATAATGTGAAGTTCTATCTAAATAAACCGCAAATTCTGTGTGTCTGAAACACCACTAACTCTGGCCACACTTGCTTTATGGAATCAGGATGATCCTAGGATTGAATATCTGCCATTCATCTGGTGCTTGAAAATCCAGCATTGGGATTTGTGTCCAAATAAAGAGGAAACAGTTAAAAATTCAAATTTTAAAATAACTGAAAAAAAAAAAAAATAAAAATAAAAAAAATTAATGATTTTAAGTTTAATTTATAAGTTTTAAGTTTAAAGCAACACCAAAATCTTTGTGAATTTGAAAAATTTTGTTTTAAAAATTCAGTTTAAAATCTCTCCAAATTTTTGTGACTTGAGGAAATCAATTTCTTCAAAATGCCAAGGAATAGGAATTAAAGTGAGAGGTTTCATAACCTGAGGAATTTGAACTTTGGCCCAAATTGGACTTATAGCTTGAATCTAAGTTAAGGCGAGGTTTTGAAGTTCCATGGAGTCAACCGAGGAATTCAGAGTTATTTCTTCAAAATTATCATTGCCGTTTTCTAAGCTGGACCTTATGTCTCTGTAGGAGCCTGCTTACAAGTACACAAAGAGTGCAGCTTTTAAACTAGTTTAACACACAAAAAAATTAGATGTGTTTTTTGTGTTTAGCACAAAACTTCAGTTTGATTTGTTGTTGCTAAAAGATGTGTAGTTAAAAAGAAAAAAAAAAAGATCTTACTTAAAACATTTAACAATTGTTGATAATCCCTATTCCTAAATGAAGCAGGTGTTTGCATCTGGAACCATCTGCCATAAAAGATCAACAGAAAGGATATTTGTTCACAAAGATGACAGTATTTCATCTGAGCATTTTAGCAATTTTTAATTACAATGAAGTATCTTATTGCATAAGAAATTTGAATTACTTAGTTTTATTCATAAAGGAATAACAATGATAGGACTAAAACTATCTTAGCAATATTACTGCTGGTACTTGATTTGTCAATGTGTGTGTGAGTGAGAGAGAGAGAGAGAATGCAGTATGATCTGTTAATTTTAATCAAATACCTTTCATTGTGCCCTCCTTCAAATCAAAAATTCTGTCAATTAAAAAAAAAAAAAAAAAAAAAAAAATTTGAAACCAATCTTGGGCAATAAGATTGGATTGTGAATGAAAATGAAGAATCCTTCAAGAAAGGAAACAAATCTACCATAAAAATTTATTTTTGGGATTGTTTCCAAGATTCATCAATCTTGATAGTGCCAAATAAGATTTTGTAAAAAAAAAAAAAAAAAAAATAAAAAATATTGGATTATTTAAAATCTATTCTGCATTGAAATTCAAAAGATGTGATTAGGGTAAAAAAACAGTCCTTGTATCTTAGAGAAATATTTATTCACACATGACCACATAATAAAAAGAAAAAAAAAAAGAGAGAAGAATTTCTTTCCAGAGTTCCTTTGAAATGTGTTCTGCAAAACTGTATGAAAAGTAAATAGACAAATATCCATAATGGGGGAATAAAGACAAGAACAGTGGAATTTATTTTCAACACATTAATGTATACAATTATACATGCATGATTTACAACAGTGTTTTCACAGTTAACAAAATAATGGAAAAAATGTTAAGTTGAAAACATTGAGTTAATAAAAAGTCTATACAAGGCGTTAATTACAAGGAAATTCCAAGGGAGTAAATGTCAGCTACAGAAACCATCCATCAAGCATCAGCTGTTGTCCCAAGACCTTGGAGGTTGGAAGGGAGTGGATTAAGGATTTTGAGCAAAGGGATCAGGTTGTTAAGTTTGGGGAAAATAATAAGAGATAGAGAAGAGGGACAGACACAACAGACAGGGATAGTTTTTTTTTTTTTCCGTTTTTTTTTTTAATTTTGTGGTTGGTGGAGAGGGAATGATTGTGGAGTGGGTCCAGAGAGGCAGGTAAGTTTGGGATTAAATTTGCTATGGAGCTCTATTTGAAGTATTTGAGCTGCCTTTGTTTTTTTTTTTAAATTTTTATTTTATCATCATCATCATAATCATCATTATCATCATCATAATCATCATCAGCTCTTTGTTCAAGGCTGAGTTTTCAGTATTTCACTGAAGAAGGAGGGAGGAAAGAGAGTGGGGGAGTTTTCAGATCTTAGCCAGGGACCAGGAGGAAGAGGAGGAGGTGGTCTGCAGTTTTCATTATATTTAAATGGTAATTTTTTTTTTTTTAAATGTTTTTTTTTTAAATATACTCTTTTCCAACATTGCAACAGTACAATTTATGGCGCTACAGAGACTTTTCAGCTTTGCCTTCTTTTTTTTCTTTTTCTTTAAATGAAGGAAAAGCTAAGAAGCTGAAATTTGAGAATAAGGGCATAGGTGGAAAACTGAGAAGCGGCTCAAACTGCGAGGCAAATTTGGTGGCAGTAAGAAACAGTTGTTGAATATATGGTGAGTAGAGTATGCGGAGACACAAGTGGAAAACTTCAAATATAAGTTTAGGTGTAAAATTGATACCAGTTAGATAATGCGGATTTTACAAGTACATCAACGGACTGACCGCAGTGAGCACAGAGTGAGAAAGACTTGCCTGAAGTCTAGACAGTGATCGGAGGCTTATATTTAAGATACCAGTCTACCAAACAAGCCAGGCCGCTCACCCTGTTTTAAAAAGTGTAAGTGTAGGCATATACGCGTCCTAGGTGATAGTAAAGTAGTGGAGAAAAGAATCACCAACAGAGAGACAAAGATGAACAGACTGAAGGAGAATATCATTGGAAGGTTGAAATTAAAAAAAAAAAAAAAAAAAAAATTAAATTAAAAGAATAAAATAAAATAAAATAAAAAAGAAAGAGAGAGAGAGAGAGGTTGGGGGTGGGCCTTGGTGAAGATAAAAGATGAATGGACTGAGTTGAAGGAATCCCGGACGAGGCACCTGCAGTGTTGTCATTTTCCCCTGTTTGATGCGTCCAGAGCATGCATCCGTTTCCTTGTGTACCTACCACAAAATATGGAGTGGTAAGGAAACAAGAGAAAGAGAGAGTGGGATTGGAAGGTGGGTGTGGGATCAGAGAAATGGGACAAAGTGGGAGGTTCTGGAAGAAGAGGAGGAGGACCAAAGCGTCCTTGAATGCTGCTACAGCCACAAGAAGATTTGGGGGCAGAGAGGTGGGGACGAAAACATAAGTAGAAGGAAAAAACCCTAATCCTGCTGTTACCAGCACCACTGTTGCCAAACTCTCTCAGTCAGTTACAACAAACTGATCGGCCAGCTGGAATTACAACACCCTACAAATTGTGGGAAAAAAAAAAAAAAAGAAATATATGGAGTGGATATGTATTGGGGAAGAGGAAGAAAAAGTGGCCTGGAGTTGTAGAAAGGAGCAGAGAGAGAAAAGAAAGAAATGGTGGTTAAATTTGATTATAAAGAGTGAAAGATTAAAAACCTCTAACAAATACTCACAACCACATTAATCTAAGCATATGAAGAGGAAATGAAATTTAAAAAAAAAAAAAATTGTTATATATATATATATATATATATATATATATATATATATATATCACACTGTTGAAATAGCTGTATATAAGGATAATTTTTGAAGCTGTAGTAAGTAGAGTTAAACAGTAGGGTTAGGCTTGGAAGAAAGAGTACGAAAATGGAAAAGTGAAGTTTCAAGACCTTGAAGTTAACTAAAGAAAGAAAATGAACTTATAAAAAGAAAGAAAGAGTGAAACAAAATTAGTCAGATTATCAAATGGGGTCAAGTGGATTAAGGGCTATTGAAGATTAATACGAGTTTTTAGGAGTGACCTGTAACATTTTTTTTTTCCTTTTTAATTTGAGAAGACAAAATAAATGTAGGAGATCCAATAATTTTTTTTTAAATTATTTTATTTAAAAAAGGCAGAGAGGACTTAAATAAAAACAAAAACAAACAAAAAAAAAAAAACAAAACAAAGAAAATAAAAAAACAGGAAACAATGAAAATTGGTAAAAAGTGTTTCACTCTCACGTTCAGTCGTATACATAAATGTGCAAGTAATAAGAAGTTGTAGACATAACCAATAATTGAGGAAATTTGTTTTTTTTTTAACATTTGTCATCATGACAATGTAAATAGCAAAGATGTTTGCTACTACATTGGCAAAGAAAAACATTATTAGTGCAGCCATCTGTGCCTGTGGTACTTAGTACCAACTGCCATTTCAGCTGGGAAAAGGACAGTCTTTTTCACAGGAAAAGAATAATGAAAGTATGTCAGGGTTTCTCAGTGGCAGGGTGGGGGGAGGAGGAGGAGGAGAAGAAAAAGTCACAAGCAAAAATATCATCAACAACTTTTATGAAGACGGTTTTCCAGGAAAAAAAAAAAAAAAAAAAAAAAAAAAAAAAAAAATCAACTTTATTTTAATTTTTTTTAAATTATTTTAAAAAAAAAAAAAAAAAAAATCCCCAAAAGGTTTTTCTTTTTGTTAAAAATCAACAAATATTGTGCTTAGAGAAAAGAATGTGGGATTTAGGCAAGAGGAAAGGGATATGAAGGGGATGGGAGAGGGTCTTCTTTTGTAAAGAGTGAGAGAGAGTGTGTGTGTGTGTTAGATAAGAAAAAAAAAACTACAGATTGAATCAAATATATAATCTTAAATGTATTTTACTTTATTAAATTTAAAAAAAATATTTTTCTAAAATTTATTCGAAAATTTAATTATTAAAAACAGTAATCATTTATTTTCCCTTCAGAAAAAAAAAAATCCTGCAACAAAGCCAAGGTGCCACCAGGTCTTGGCTTTGTGTACACAAAATGCTCCATATCTCCAGAGTTTTGGTTCAATGTTTGCATTCTTAAAGAATAGAATCACATAAGCTGTAATAATCTTTTATTTCACTGCCATTCATAGACACAAAAAGATCAATTGAATTAGAAAATACTGTCATTTGTCACTTGATTTTAGGAGGACCATTCAATTGTCTCATCATTAATAACATTACCAACTTTCAACAAATAAGTGACAGAGGCAGTATCTTGATTTGTCCAAACGAAATAATTAAATACTTGAAAAGAAAAAAAATATTTGCAGGAAGAAGAAAACAATGAGTGATAATGATGATCACCATTGTGTTTTTCTTTCTATCCTTGAATTTGATGATATTGTCGGCTAGGGTTTTTTGGTTTGCTCAGGACTTGAGAGAGGTCCTCAATTGTTAAAATAAATTAATTTATATTCAGTTTGGTTCAAGATGAAAACTCCTATAGATTTTTGTGATGTCCTTATTTCTACTTAATCAGATAACCATTTAGTAAATTAGATGTTAGTAAATTAGATGTAGCAGCCTTCATTACTTGTAAAACAAGTTTTTTTTTTTTTTAACTATACAGAAAGATGAAAGAACAGTGTTGAGAATGAGATTCATTTCTTTTATAGATAAATAACAGACAAGCCACCAACTACAACATGGAGAAGAAGTCGAAAGATCTTTGCTGTAAGCAACTTGATTCAACAAAAAACTCTTCTCTACACTTTCATGATGGGCAACAACATGTAGTTCAATAATATTTTGATTGTACAAATCCTCTTCCAATGGAGTGGAGAAAAATTTAAACTCCACTTAATATTTAGAGAACAAAATGTACATGTTAAATGAAATTTCAACCTTTTAAAACATTTATGGTGTGGATAAATTTTATTGCAACACAGTATTTATTGATTCACTGATTTCTGTCAATTGCAGTTTTATAGCTCAACTGCAAGTGATTGAAATCTTTTTCAGTTTGTGGGTTAAACTTACCAGCAACAAAAACTGGTAATGTTTTAAATGAAGTTGTTAAATATTTTTTTTTTTATTCCAATTTGAATGCAGTCTAAGACTGTTGAACTCTGAACAAAGTGCAAAACCAATTCTAACAGGCTGTTTATTTTTTATTTTTAGTGATCCTCATCTCATTGAAAAGCAATGTGCTCAAAAAGGGTCAGGAAGGTCAGCTCTCCTTTCAACTTGACAGCAATGCACAAATGGAAAGAGGGCAAAAGAGAAACTATTTCCTCCATCAACTCTCAGCTTTCACACCAATGTCAGTTCTGAAAGAGGAAGGCAACACACTTTTTCACCTCTCTTTGTATTGTTGAGAGTGTTTGGAAGATCAGCAGTAGTTACTATAGAAGCCAGCCAGGGAGACAGAAGTTGTTTGCAAAGCAGACAGCAAGAAACATTTCCCATACAGCAAGCCAAAGGGTTTAAAGTAGCTAACAGATAAGTGGTTCTAGTTGTATTGAGATTGGTGGTTGTAAATAACCTATTTGTTGAATTTGTGAGAGAGAGACTCCATTATTTGCCTCTGAGACTCTTATCCTCATCTATTGAAATGCTTGCAAGTTTTGATCGTTGTTCTCTTACTATCATCAGGTGACACAGATGATTTTCAAAAATGGTGACATAATCTGGGGACCAAAGAGAAAGCTATGTTGATGAGAATAAGTTCAGCAAAGCAAAGTGACTAGCTCATAGGATAGTTTGGCAGGGGAAGTTTTTTTTTTTAAAGTCAGTAATTGTTGAAAACAACAACAACAACAACCCCCCCCCCGAAAAAAAAACAAAACATGGCACACCCACCACTGAAGAAAACTATCTTTTAAAGATGAGAAGATCAACAGAGGGGTGGTGGGAGATGGTAGTAGTGATGAAGAGAAATGCAAACATTCTTCTTGGTAATTCTATATTCTGACTATTATGGTGTGTGTTGTGCTATCGAACGTATTGTGGTATTGTTTGTTTAGTGTATGGTTTATTATGCGAGGGTTGTAGGAAAAATTGGTGGCTCAGGGTGTGGTGATGAACTGGTCATGAAATGTGCAACTTACAAAAATAAGGGTGGGTTCTTTGAAAGGGTGGTGATAGACAGGACAACAGAATAGACATTACTTGGTATATAGAATTAGACATACAAAATGTATGGATATAATCATTGAATAGAATTGAACTTCTCTTCCCAAATACAAAGTACAAAAATGTCAACAATCCAAGTAAAAGCAGAATATTGGGTGGATGGGGTCGTTTTCTGTGCCGAGGGGAGACAACCCTCTAAAGTTTCTATTATAACTTATTTCAAAACACACATATATATATATATATATATATATATATATATATATATATATATATATCACACACACACACACACACACACACACATACATACATGCATGCATGCACACAGACATATTTTCTCCTGTTTCTGTATACATCTATTTTTCTCTTCTTTCTCTCTCCCCCCCCCCGCTCTCTCTGAGCAGAGCATCAGACTTTTACTGAACAGAGTAGAATTAAACTGCCTGGCTTATTTAGGGGGAGGAAAGGCGTGGGGGAGGCAAACAAGGGGGTGGGTGGGTCAAAATGACCTTGTAGCAAGCACTCGGAGAAAAAAAAGAAAAAAAAAAGAAAAAAGAAAAGAAAGAAAATGAAAACAAAAAGGTCCATTCTGTGGAGATGACAAGAAATTCCACATAGTAAGTTAAAGAAATGGGATAAGAGGTTGAAATGATTATATTTCATCTTCAGGACATCGGCTAGGAATTAGTATTACAAAAAAGTTTTTTTTTTTTTTTTTTTTTTTTTAATTTTTAAGATATTTTTTTTTTTTTTTTTTTACATTTTTTATGTTTGTTATTAACAATTCCATTATTAATAAATTAAAAAAAAAAAAAAAAATGGTGCATATGTTTATTTTATTTTTTTGTCAAATGAAAAAATGTTTTCTATATTTTGTTTGTCTAATATTCTCTTTTCCCCTTAATTCAGTTCTAGTAGGTAAAGTTCTGCAATTAGTGAATATGGAGTAGAGAGAGAGATTGATTTTTATTTTTTCTTGCCAGCTCCATGAGATAATGTTTCGATAAATAATTCATTTATATTTATTTTTTTTTTTTTTAAAAAAACCCCAAAAAAAACAGCAGGTATAATGAATTAGAAACTACTTTAACAATCATTGCAAGTACTGCACATCAGTAGCAGTTGTGTGTGTGTGTGTGTGTGTGCATTTTCATCATACATCCATGGGAGCTCTAATCAACTACATTATACATATATAAAAAGGTTCATAATAGAAAGTGTGTGTATGTAAATATGCATATAAGCTAAATAGTTACATAGACACAATGAAATACTTTGTAATTTCAAAGAGAACTTTGTAAAAGAAACAAAGGCCTTTGTACATTGACAGTGCAACAGTGTCAAATTTTCATTCTTATTTATATCCCTGTTCTCCTTAGGTTTCTTTTCTTTTTTTGGTTAATAACTGTATCCAAAACTCCATTCTTGATAGTAAGGACCACTTCTATTGAGACCCTGTGTAAGTAGACAAGAGCTACACAAGGCATTGAGTGGGACCTAAAAAAAAAAAAAAAAAAAAAAAAAAAAAAAAAAAGTTGTTGGCTCCCATCACCAGATTTATTTATTTCATTTTTATTATTAAATAGGTTTTTGTTATTAGCAATCACTCCCAAAAAAGTTTTTTTTTATTAAATGTATATATTTTATATAATCTTTTAGATTTAAAAATGTGAATTTAAAAAACAAAAAAAAAAAGGAAAATGTATCTTTTATTTTTTTTTTTTTTTTTTTTTCTTTGACTAGAAAGGAAGCATTATGATTTTATTTTTAATTTTTCAGTTGCAAAAGGAAACAAAGATCACATGACAAAACAGCATTTACCAACTGCATCTGCAGGTTGCCAGCAGGGGAGGGGGGAAGGGGGGGAAGTAAAGAACCATTAAATAGGTAAAAAAAAAAAAAAAAAGTTACACTGAATTTCTGACATAGTCATAGATCCCAGGTAGCAAATCTTACAAGGTGAGATCAATGGAGAGACGTTTAGAGCTGGATTCCCACCTTTTGGAGAAGTGAGAGGCCAGCATCTCGTTCCCCTGCATGAAATGGTCGACTCCAGCCTGCAAGAATAATGGCCTTGGCGGAGAGACGAAACGGGCAACGGCCGCATTTATGCTTTCTCTTTGTTATTGGTGCTGACCGCATCTCTTCTAGGAGGCATACGCTCGTTCATCTTATCCAAACTCTTGGCTTCGTCGAAACCACTGATCTTATGAGTAGGAGAGAATCCACTGAGGGCTAAAAGAAAAAAAAATGTTGATACAAAAATTAAAGACATGATTGAAAAGTGAATAAGTAATATACAGATATAAAAATGTCATATGAATATATATAGAAAAAAAAAATATTGCTTAAGATGTTTTACTTTAAATACAACCTTGACATTAAAAATTACATCTTTTGCTGTTGATATTAATTTAAAGTTTCTCATGAGAATGATAAGTGTTGGCTTAAAGAAAAAGATTAAGCATAGTACAAAGAATTTGATGGATTGTTTGATTGTATTTATTTTATTGCAAGATTTTGGTTGATCTATTTTACTGCCATCCTCATGTATATAGAACATGTAGAAAGAGTGAAGATTTCTTTTGGATCAAAATAGTAAAATAAGAATTTGGCAGCAAATACAATATGCGCCAAGAAGAGAGAAGACAGAGAGAGAAAAAAACAAAAAACCAAAAAGCGAGAAGAAAAAACCAAAAAGCGAGAAGAAAAAAAGAGAGAAGAAAAAAAAAAGAAAAAAAAGAGAGAAGAAAAAAAAAAGAAAAAAAAGAGAGAAGAAAAAGAGAAGAAAAAAAGAAAGAAAATCACCTGCGAAAATGTGTATGTATGTGTGTGTGTGTATTAGTATATTTCCAAAAGAATTTGTACACCTGTTTAACTTAGCAAAACCAGAAAATGTGTATTCATTATAACTGTCCGACTACAGAGTGTGGGCTTGGAATAGGAGACATCCACGTTTGCATTTGGTGATTCTCCTCCAAATTGATGGCCAGTGTATTCAAATAAGGAGAGGTAGGAGGCCACATGCCCTGGAGGTGAGGTGTGTGATTTATCATGAAAATTCTTGCCCAGCCACTCCTAGGTCATGTAGTGTGGGAGAACACAAATGACTTCCTATGAGCCCCTATTGATCAAGGGCATGACCACCATGTCCATTAACTCACTACAGCTGATGAGAATGTGAATTTTGTGTACATCACTATAGGTATTTTTGTGGCCATTTGCATTTCTAACCCTAGAGAAGAATCAGAATATGTTGGACTGATTAAGCTTTGTCCAGTTCCTCACGCTGCTTCAAAGCTAATATTTTTTTTTTAGAAAAAAGTGTAAAAGACAGGACAGTGTGGAGGCAATTGATTGCAATACTGACATTAATCCTAATGGGTTGGCCCAGTTATATTTGCCACTATGTTTTACAGCAGACTGACTAGCTAGGAAGAAGACTCCCCCCACCAAACAAATGAGATTTTGCATTTCTATTCTTTCTACTTACAAAATAGATTGTAGACATTAACAATAGAATAGATTGGCAATAGAGGTGAATAAGTCATGAAATGAAGATACTAAAATACAAGGAAATATTTGCTAGACATAATAATCAGATACAATGAAGCCAAGAAGACCTTTAATATTTATATTGGTTTTATGAAAGCATTTTTGGTTAGAGTCAGGTGATGTATCTTTTGGATCATATGGCAGAATTTGAGTGCAGATCATTCAGACAGCATTTTATAGCTCAACACTTACATAGTGAACCAGACATAAAAAATAATGATCACATGTTGGATATAACTTTAATCAATACATAAGCCATATTTGATAGACATATTTAAATTACTTATTGAGAGCAAGAGTTACCAGTTAACTGGATGGGTTGGACTGTTATAAGCACCTTCAAAATGCCTATTTGTACAAAGAGAGTTTCTGTTTGAAAAGAGAAAGGAAAAAAAAAGAGAAAGGAAAAAAAAAGAGAAAGGAAAAAAAAAGAGAAAAAAAAAAAAAAGAAAAAAAAAAGAGAAAGGAAAAAAAAAGAGAAAGGAAAAAAGAGAAAGGAAAAAAAAGAGAAAGGAAAAAAAAGAGAAAGGAAAAAAAAGAGAAAGGAAAAAAAAGAGAAAGGAAAAAAAAGAGAAAGGAAAAAAAAGAGAAAGGAAAAAAAAAAAAAAGGAGAGAAAGAAAAAAAAAAAAAAAAAAAAAGAGAAAGGAAAAAAAAAAAAAGAAAAAAAAGAGAAAGGAAAAAAAAAGAAAGGAAAAAAGAGAAAGAAAAAAAAAGAGAAAGGAAAAAAAAAGGAAAAAAAAAAAGGAAAGGAAAAAAGAGAAAGGAAAAAAAGAGAAAGGAAAAAAAGAGAAAAAAAAAGAGAAAGGAAAAAAAGAGAAAGGAAAAAAAAGAAAGGAAAAAAAAAAAAAAAAGAAAGGAAAAAAAAAAAAGAAAAAAAAAAAAAAAAAAGAAAAAGGAAAAAAAAAGAGAAAGGAAAAAGAGAAAGGAAAAAAAGAGAAAGGAAAAAAAAGAAAAAAAAAAAGAAAGGAAAAAAAAAGAGAAAGAAAAAAAAGAAAGGAAAAAGAAAAAAAAGAGAAAGGAAAAAAAGAGAAAGGAAAAAAAAGAGAAAGGAAAAAAGAAAGGAAAAAAAAGAAAGGAAAAAAAGAGAAAGGAAAAAAAAAGAGAAAGGAAAAAAAAGAGAAAGGAAAAAAAAGAAAGAAAAAAAAAAAGGAAAAAGAGAAAGGAAAAAAAGAGAAAGGAAAAAAAAAGAGAAAAAAAAAAAAGAGAAAGGAAAAAAAGAAAGGAAAAAAAGAAAGGAAAAAAAGAGAAAGGAAAAAAGAGAAAGGAAAAAAAGAGAAAAAAAAAAGAGAAAGGAAAAAAAGAAAGAAAAAAAGAGAAAGGAAAAAAAAAGAAAGGAAAAAAAGAGAAAAGGAAAAAAGAAAGAAAAAAAAAAAAAAAAAAGAGAAAGGAAAAAAGAGAAAAAAAAAAGAGAAAGGAAAAAAAGAAAGGAAAAAAGAGAAAAAAAAAAAGAGAAAGGAAAAAAAGAGAAAGGAAAAAAAAGAGAAAGGAAAAAAGAGAAAGGAAAAAAAAAAAAAAAAAAAGAAAGGAAAAAAAAAAGAAAGGAAAAAAAAAAGAGAAAGGAAAAAAAGAGAAAAGAAAAAAAAAGAGAAAGGAAAAAAAGAGAAAGAAAAAAAAAAAGAGAAAGGAAAAAAGAGAAAAAAAAAGAGAAAGGAAAAAAAAGAGAAAGGAAAAAAAAAAGAAAAGGAAAAAAAGAGAAAGGAAAAAAAGAGAAAGGAAAAAAAGAGAAAGGAAAAAAAGAGAAAGGAAAAAAAGAGAAAGGAAAAAAAGAGAAAGGAAAAAAAGAGAAAGGAAAAAAAGAGAAAGGAAAAAAAGAGAAAGGAAAAAAAGAGAAAGGAAAAAAAAGAGAAAAAAAAAGAGAAAGGAAAAAAAAGAAAAAAAAAAAAAGAGAAAGGAAAAGAGAAAGGAAAAAAAAAGAGAAAGGAAAAAAAGAAAAAGAGAAAAAAGAGAAAGGAAAAAAAGAGAAAAAAAAAGAGAAAGGAAAAAAGAGAAAAAAAAAAAAGAGAAAAAAAAAAAGAAAGGAAAAAGAGAAAAAAAAAAAGAGAAAGGAAAAAAAGAAAGAAAAAAAAAAAAAAAAGAAAAAAAAAAGAGAAAGAAAAAAAAGAGAAAGGAAAAAAAGAGAAAGGAAAAAAAAAGAAAAGGAAAAAAGAGAAAGGAAAAAAAAAAAAAGAGAAAAGGAAAAACAAAGAGAAAAGGAAAAACAAAGAGAAAAGGAAAAACAAAGAGAAAAGGAAAAACAAAGAGAAAAGGAAAAACAAAGAGAAAAGGAAAAACAAAGAGAAAAGGAAAAAAAAAGAGAAAAAAGGGGCTAAAAATTTTTTATGTGAATTTAAAGAACCAAAAGAAATCACTTCTCAAGTAAAACAATATTAACTCAATACATTAAAAAGTGGCTTCTTGGATACAAAGTGTTAAGCAAATACTTGCTTATATATAAGTAAAAAGGCAATTAAAAAAAAATTGTGTGAAAAATTTAGTAAAATACAAACATTGAATTTTCATCATCTTTGACGTAATAGGACAAAACATAAAAACAAAACAAAAAAAACCCAACCAATTCTGTACTTACGACCTGGTATCATAGATAAGTTCTCATGATTGGTTGTAGAGAAATCACACATACATATTTAGAGAGAATATAGTGTTGACTTGATAATTGCTTCAAGACTAGACAAAGCACAAAAACTACCACCATACCCACCACCAATAACTTTAGTCCAAACATTATTTTTGATCAGCATTAGTAAAATATAAAACTAATAATTTCAATAAAACTCAGTGAAGCAGGAGTTGACTGTTTGATTGAAATTCTATAAAACACTGACTCACTTAAATGACTGGATTTGATGAAAACAAAGGCCCTTAAACTCATTGTACCTCAAAAAATACCTGGATATGACTCAGTCAGAGAGAGCATTGCATTCTGAACTGACACTAACTGAACATTCAAACCATTTCATACAGATTTAGTTGACTGATTTTTTTTTTAATCAACACCAGGGAAGTTTGGGTACAGTGGGATAAATTAGAGGGAAAAATAAAATTGTTTTCCAGTGAGATTTCAGCTTATGACATCACAGTCTTCATAATGAAATTGTGAAGATCAAATAAAAAAAAAAAAAAAAAAAAATTGCTTGAATATATATATATATATATATATATATATGTGTGTGTTTATCGCACAAAATTTCATAACTGAAACAATTAAGCTCCTCATATGTCAAAATCAATATTATATATATATATATATATATATTTTCAACAAATTTTGTGATGAAATTTTAGAGTAAATTTTGAAAATAATTCTTATTGCATATTTTATGTGAATTGGTGTTAAAGAATTCGTTCAAGATCATTGATCCTTCATCAAATTGGTCATGTGGTATGACATTAAGATTTGCATTGGTGATGATCACAAGCATCATTCTCATTGGAAATAACTGTCACCAGAATCTGTTGTTGGTCAAGATTTAAATTTTTTTTTTCTTTTTAAATCATTCAAATGCCTCCTTTTTGCAGAGAAAGAAATAAAAAATGACAAAAATGTGGGAATATGTATGCTGTCCTCTAAAAGCACAAATTAGAAATAAAGAGTTAAGCAATGACACTTGTGGCTAGAAAATCTGGGGATCAGGTATTTTTTTTTTTTTTAAAGAAATTTTGTCATTTTGTTTTGTTTTGTATATGGTACTTCAGGTAAAATTTCTCTAAATGTATGTTCATTTTTTTTAACAGATTAAATTTATTAAATAAAATATAATTAAAAACAAATAAAAATAAATTGTAGAAATCTAGTTGATGAAAGATAATATTCCTTAAAAGATTTAGTGCTAAAAAGAATTTCTTCAAAAGTACCAAATTAAATTAAATGTTTTAATTGTCATATTTAGTTTTAATAATAATTTAGTTGTATTCAAACTAATGTCAGCATTTGTTGCCCTCCATCTTAGTAATATTTCAGTTGCATGCCTTTTGTCCTTCTTTAGGTTTAGGAATACTGTCAAATCTTGCTCTGAAGAGGCATTTGACAACATTTCAGAATGGGTTACACCTATGTTTAGAACCTGGCAATCCCAGATGTTTACCCATTCACAATTTCTATTTGCTCATTTTATCAAAAAGGAAATTTGCACTGATATTTAAAATTTTCATTATTAGAAAAAGAAAAAAAAAAGGAAAAAAAAAAAAAAAGAATTTGCTGCTTCAGTATTTACTGTCTAGAGATACTTGTAATATCACGAATCTCAAAATGATGTGAATAAATTCTTTGTTCTCATTGGTTTAAAAGAAGGAAGGCTATTAGTTTTCTGTTCTGTCCACAAAAGTCGAGTGAAAAAGGGTCAAGGAATTAAAAGCAGCTGGAATTTTTCATATTTAATGAAAATGAGATGTTTTTTGTTGAGCAGCTTCAGAGAACAACGAAAACAACGCTATTTTAAAGAAAAAGAGTTAATTACTTCAATCTGGTTAAGCCAATCTTGATTGCATTGAAGGTTGTCCCAATGAAAATCTGCACAAATTTTGATCTCAAAAGGAGAAGCCAATAATGACCAACTTATTCACAGTGCAAAGAATAATAAGGGATTACATTTAAATCTAGAAAAGTTTTTGGTAGCATTTGTTACTTGTGGATAGTTACAAGTAAATGCATTGAAATTGGCAAATACAATTTTCATTTTGTAAATAGCAATCTCAAAAGTTGTAGAAGACATTGCAGAACCATTTGAAGCAGAATATTTCTACAGTTTTACAAGACGATAGGCAAAGAAAACAAAACTTTGCATTTGATGGTCATTTTCCATAAATGGGTAACTATTCAAATCGTATATTATAAAGGAGTCTATGAAATACCAAATTTCAACTGCTTGGATAAAAAGAATTTACACAGAAAATAATAAAAATTAAGATAAAAGTTTCTTTGGACTGATTTTATCATTTACTTCAAAACAAAGATTCACAATATTTGATAAATCTCCAGTCTTTAGTGATGCCATTGATGTGTTCAAATTTTTTAAATATACACCACTGATTTTCAGGTTTAGTACATGTGCACTTTTTCACAAACCCCTTCCTCAAAATTTACATGCATTTCAAGGAAATGGAAACTGGAATTCAACTTTACCACGCAGATAACAAAGCCTTAATCAACTAAGAAGATCCTTAATATGGAAGGATCAAGTAAATTTTGAAGTCAAGCGAAGATTTTTTTTGTTGTTTTATAGAATTGAACTTGCCTTATATTTTGATGCAAGGAATGACAAGGAATGTTGTTGGTTCTGAAGACGAGGATTATTGTTTTAAATTCTGGTTATGGTTAAGTATTTGAGAAAGGAATTAATCCAATTTTCCTTGAGATTAGTCATATTACATTTTTTTTTTCTTTATGTGTGTAAAAAAAAAAGATGGGGCAGCTGAAACAGATGAAAGTAATAAAGATGAGGAGAACAAAGTGTGAAAACACTGAATAAATTTACCTAAGGGTAAAAAGGGGGTTGGGGATAGGAGAAACAATGTCACAGTCAAGTCCATGACTTAAAGAAAAGAGATTACCAAGTAATTATTAAAATTAACTTACTTGATTTTTTTTTTTTTTTGCATAATTGTGTTTGAATTGAAAGCAGTTAAATTAGTCCAAAGAAACTTAAGTGTCAATCAGAAATTTCAGAAATATAGAGATGCTATTAGAGTAAAGAAAGAAATTTTGATAATGTTTTCAAAAAGCAAAATGCTCCCTAATTTTTTTTTTTTAAAGTGTTCTCTTAATAAGTACCAACCACCTTGAAGCAATGTCGCAATAATAAACTTGGGGAAAAGCAGTAGCTTTAAAGAATTTGACCAAAGCTCTTGACATTTTTAAGTCTTCTAAAACATAAATAGAAAATTAATTTCTACAGTGCCAGTACTAAGTATAGGTGATAAAGCCTTAAAGCCTGTAAACATCCGACTCAAATCTACAGTTCTGATTTTTTTTGTTGTAGACTTCATATTGCTTGAATATAAAAACACGAGGAAATAAAAGAATGTTTTAATAGACATTGGAAAATGAACAGAATCTCATTGCAGCAAAATATAATGAAGAGTTAAATTATTACAGAATATTTGGAGGTTAAGATTTTTTTTAAAAAATGGAATTGACTGTATTGGTTGATATTAAAATGGCCCAATTTTAAAGGAGACATTTTTCAAAATCAAACTAATATTTATATTTTTATTTTTTTTATTTTTATCAGATTAACTGAACTTAAGAAAATTGTATTTTTGGATACATTGATGTTCATATGGTGAAAATAGTGACCAGTTTTTGATTAACATTTCTGGGAACAATTTTCTTTTTAAAGAATCTTGATAGAACTTGGCATAATTTGGTTACATTTGTGAATCTATATTTGAATTACGAGTGATAGTATGTGCCGCACAATGCTTTTATGAAAATGCAGTTCATGTAAACTTGAGACACAGTTGTATAAATATCAACCAAAGATGTGTATTTTGTCAAATCAACCAAGAGAATTTCTTTTTATGCAACAATAAAAGCATTCATCCATGAACCTTATTCAAGAGTAATGATCGGATATAACAAAAGATAATTTGTCAAAAATCGTGAAAAAAAAAAAAAAAAATTTGTGCTTCATGTTTAATCTACTGATAGTTATCAGAGAAGGAATCTAATGGGAATTCTTAAAAAAAATTTAATAAAAAAATGTATTTTTGGATAATCAATTATGGCAATGTTGTCAAAAACCAATTAACAGAATTGGGCAAGTGCCAAGGCATATCAGTTTAATAGCAATGTTTCTGAGAAATTTTAATTTTTGTAGTTTTGGAATAAAAATTGATTAAATGCAAAACAATATATGAGTGAATAGTAGAAAAATTATCAACCAGTAAATACAGTTGTAATATCCATGTTAGATTATGTCAAGTTGGATAGAAAGAAATTGAACTTATATCCAAATATGAAGATTAAATTTTGTTTTCTTTTTGCAAGTGTTTGACTTGCTCCTAACAATATATTATCTACAATTACAAAATAAAAAGAGTATTATCCTAATTTTTTTAAAAGATCATTTCTTTTCAAATATTGTAGTAATAAACTCAAGTGTCAGTATTTCATTTGACAAATAAATAGAAACCAAAAAAAAAAAAAAAAAAAAAAAAGGAGTCAGAGATATGTTCTAAAAAGGGAAAAATGGTTTGTCGAAATGTATTGTATGAAAACCTGAAAATGGCTACACACAACTAATTTGCTTGATTAGGGAAACTGTCCCAAGAATTCTATTGGAAAGTTTCTTTTATTAATAAAATACT